GAAAAATATTGGGTCAGATTGATTTCATATTTTTCTAAACATTTTTCTAAACTTAAATCTTAAAATGTCCTTCCGAAGGCAGCGGAATTTCAATTTCGGTGACCGATAGCTTCTTACGGACAACTCCTCTGACCAAAATAGTGCCGACACGCCGCCGCATCGCGCTACGTGTCGCGCCGCCATAACGGGTTGCCCCGCCGCTCCACCACGTCGTGTTTCCGCAATGCACTGCTGCAACGCGTCGCCATGACTCACCGCCACACCTCCACCTTCTCCTTTAGGCCCCTATTTATAGGCTCAAAAAAGAGTCTTGGCCAATAAATGCACATTAATATAGAAATCGAAAAAGAAGTACAAGCATTAAATACTCATTAGTAATAATAAATAAAAACTTTTCATATTAAAAATTTTTTTTTTCAATTTTTATTCCTTCTCTTTTGCCCTTTTAAATTCCTTAATCTCTTCAAATTCCTTTATAAAATATTATTTATTCTGTTTTAGGTGGGATTCGAACCCCCCTCTCCCACATAAAATAAAAGATACTAACAACTAAGCTAAGTTCAACCTTCTATTTATATAAGAATAAAAATTATTTTGAACTAAGTTAGATATACATATTCTTATACATAAATACTCCGGATATTGATATTTTCGAATAATAAAAAGGGTCTCACCCAAAAATAGAGGGGCAATTGATACTCCACCAACAAATTTTCATCATCCAACACGAATCTTGAGGCATGACAAGAATCTCGAGATGATATTTTAAGCAAGAAACATTCAAATCTTGATAAAAAGTCATCCATAGCTTCGATTTTAGCAAACTTATAGTCAAATTGACTTATTCAATGAGACATACCTAATGATATGAAAACTAGCCCAATCCAAGTCAAATCAAGCCCAGATCAAGTCATTAAACCACAATTAGAAGATTTATGAATACATTTAGAAAGTCAAACAGCTGTTAAATATGACAAGTTTATACTCAAATCGAGCGGCTTGACAAGACAAATCCAACGAGCCCAAGATTACTCAATTCTGTACTCAATAAGATTACTCAATTCTGACATCATTAAGACACTCAAATGTCCATTAAACGTCGTATGATCGAAGGAAGCTCTCTGGACCATCCGATCAAAATGGTTCTTATTTTTGCATTAATTGCACCCAAAACATTATAAATAGAGCCCAATCCCTCTCATGAGGAAGGAGGAAGTCTAGAGAGAGCATGAGGTCTTGAAGAGAAGCTGCAGCTCATCATCACCACCAATCATCGTCGACCACCGTCGATCTCCAACGTCGACCGTCATCGATCGCTGACGACCACTGCCGACCGTCGTCGGCCACGGCTGACGTCGTCCACCTCCACCTGTCGTCATTAATCACTATCAACCAGACACCGATTTAGGGTTGTTAAAATGACTCTTTGTTCGTGAATAGCTCGTGTTCGGCTCGTTAAGCAAACAACCACCGCCGACCGTCGTCGAGCACCGTCACCCGTCATCGACCACCATGAACCACCATCGGGCTCATTTACACCTCTACCGTCAGTCAACATTGTAATCTGAAAAATATAGTTACCCCTTCCCGTCTGTGGGACAAAGGATTTTTGTAATCATCAATCAATAGTGGATTTCCGCAACTGGGCCAGACCATGTAGTTTTTCCCTAACGGGTTTTCCACGTAAAAATTTCTGGACTCATCATCGCTTTTTTCTATTTCATCTGTGTGTGTGCTGAACTTTCGTACACCGCTAAGACGATGATTTGTTACTCTACCGCCGCAAATTTTTTAGCACGCATCATGATTTTGAATTAGTAATATTTAAAAAAATCATTATTTCAATAAATATCTTAATTTAACTTTCAAAATATCAGTAAAGGTCAGGTCTTAAATTAATAAAATAAACATAAATTAATTAAAAACTAACTTACAAACAATTGCACGAAAAAATGAAGTCGAAGATGTTGGGTTTGTTGAAAAAGTAATGCAGTGTAAAATGAATGTAATGCAGAAGTATGTATTGTTGTTGAATTATTTTGAAGTTTTTTTGGTTTGGTGTGAACTAAATGAATGACTTTAATTTTTTTATTTGGTTACAAGCAGAATGAAAATATTGTATTTCAAAGCATTGCATATTTTGGAGGCGGAGGGTGGTGGTGCATAGTGGCAATTGAAAATTGCGCCGGTGTCGGTTACAGCGATGGTGGTGGCGGTGGGCAGCGATGTGTTGGTGCCCAGTGAGTACGATAGTGCCCAAAAATGTGTGGCAGTGGCAGCCGACTACGGTGGCAGGTGGTGTCGACGGTGGTGGTCGTCAATGCTGGTGTTGGCCCACGATCAGCTGAGGTGCTAGACAAAAAGTTATTTTTCATTGTGTTTTGGAATTCGATCAAACCAGTGAATTTTAGATTCAAATAAAGTGAACTAAACAATGAATTTCTAATTTAATGTAATTTTATATTGAATTTAATTACATAGCACCAAATAATAAAATTTTTAAATAATAGAAATTAGAATGAGCCATAAAAATTTGTCCACTATGGGGCTATTCAAATGAGTGAATTTGTCGTGTTTTGGAATCCTCAATGCTTTGAATATTGGATTGAACTGACCAATTCGACTAGTTTGACCGCGAACGAGTGACTAATTTGGTTCGCATGCAGTAAGAAACCGTCCATGCTTTTGAACCATGCGAAATCAATTGAATCACTAGTTGAACCGATCTATCGAGGAACCAATTTAATTTTTGAAAACCGCATGCCGCGATACTTTTGAGTTGAACGTTGAGATTTTAATAAAATTTAAAATAAAAGTATAAAACTTTTAAGTAAAGCACCTTATATATAT